GTCTTTAAAACTGTTGACCTAGCTGATAAAATTTTAAATTTGTTAAAGAAACATATATCCCATCCTCGACGATTATTGCATTGCAATATGTGGCATGACCAGAAAAGGCGACAAAGCTCACACCAGTTATCTGTAAATCAAAAGAAAATGGCACTATCATTTAAGGTCTCTAAATTAAACAGAAACACGTGTACTATAAACTACGGATCAAACGCACTTTATGTATAACCGATTCTGAATGTTCTCGTGATGCTGAAAGTGGAGGGAGCGCGACGTCAACCGAAGTCGGTTAGCTACAATGTAGAACTTGTGTATGTAAGCACATCATCCAAGTTGCTGTACAACAGCAAAAGCAGAGAGAAATGTCAGTTCAAATCCTCGTAGTGGAAAAGGTAGTAACAGTATTTGAAAAGATTAAGGATGGACGATATGATTTACATAGCTCAGCCCGATAGGCAGAACACTTTAGGGATCAGTTCAACTGGCCTCGAGTCACACTTCGGTTACCCACGATCCCCAGCCATCCTGAATGGCAAATCGCTTTAAGTCCTCCCAGTCTACATGAAGTTGAGAAAACTAAAGGGAAGTAGAGCAACAGGTCCTGATAGGCCTACCCCTGATGGTTTTAAGGATGGTTGTCCAGTTTTAACAGTTAGACTGACCGAGATCCTAGGTAGAATCTGGGAACTTGACGTTATCCCATCTGACTGGTCTCAGTCGCTAATTGTCCCAATCTACAAGAAAGGACAAAAGTCCTGTTGTGACAATCACAGGGGAATAAGTCTAACTTAGAAAGTTTCTAAATTGTTAGCCTCAGTAATACTTCGACGCTTAACGAAAGCTCGTGAAGAGCAGACTCGAGAAAACCTGGCTGGTTCTCGACCTGAACGTGGCTGTATAGACCACGTCTTCACACTACGACAGGTCCTGGGACACAGGACACACATTTAGACGTCCGACAATAGTTGTGTTCCTGGACCTAAAAGCGGCATTCGACTCAGTGGATCGTGAGGTTCTGTGGCAGTGTCTGTCATTGAAAGGTGTACCAAAGAAGTACATTAGCCTTATACAAGCACTCTCTCTCCTCGAACACCACTGGTCGAGTGAGAGCTTAGGGCGAACTGTCACCGGAATTCTCTACATCAAGTGGTGTCCGTCAGGGATGTCCACTCTCTCCATTCTTGTTTAATTTTATCATAGTCATGCTCTTAGAAATAACCTTATCTTCGTCTGAATTTGCAGTACACCTTCTACCAGGTGGCTCGCTTAATGACTTAGAATATGCCGATGACATTGTCCTACTAGGTGAAGACGCTGACAAAATGCAGAGTCTTCTGACCACCCTAAGCAACAGTGCAAGCATGTTCGGGGTGCGGATTTCCTCGTAGAAATACAAAATGTTGCTTCAAGATTGGGTTGCATCGGCATATAAACTAGTGATAGGCAGTGAAGTAGTTGAATGTGTAGACCGCTGGTGACTGACGAAATCTCAGCTCGGATACAGGAGGCTCGATTAGCTTTCGTCAACCTGTGTCACTTATGGCGTAGGCGAGATATTCGTTAGCTGACTAAACGACAGTGTACTGTGCAGTGGTTCGCTCCGTCTTACTTTATGGCTGTGAAAAATGGACAATCAGAGTAGAAGATATTCGTAGGTTACTAGTATTCGATCAGAAGTGTCTTCGAAGCATTGCTCGTACATCCTGGTACGACCGAGTAACAGCATTGCTGTCGTTAGCAAACTAGTACTAGGTAGGGACGGAAGATCAATAGATGAAGTATTGAAACTTCATCAGTTGAGGTGAGTGGGACATATGTTACGTATGGCTAACCGACTGCCTCGACGAACTTTGTTTTGTAGTGTAGGAGTAGATTGGAAGAAAGTTAGGGGCGGCCAGACCAAAACATGGCACAAATCCATGAAGTCATTTACAAGTGGACTTAGCCATGTTTAGTAGTTGTCGACTTCCTGGTTTGGGTCCGCGAGACAATAGTCACCGATGGTTAGAGACACTGAATGACGTGGCTCAAAATCGTTCGCAATGGCGCCCCTGCAATTTATTCTTTGTGTTCGTCTCTCAAACCCTAATCTTCTGGATTCTTCAACACCTCTAGTTTAGACTTTTCTAAACTTTTCTCACTGAATCATTCCTTCTGAATAATATCTTCTAATCCTAACCTCTCCGATTACTTCTAATACGTTTACTACCTCTTCTACTATTGGATTTGAATTGACAATTATTATCTCTGTGCTGATGTGGTATGGCAACATGAACTGACGTATTTACGTACCAAGTTCTACGTTGCATCTGACTGACATAGCTCAGTCCAATTAATAGTGACTTGATGGATTTTGCCATATTTTGGTCTGGTAAACGTTAGCTTTTTTACGGTTAAAAACAGTTTCTCCCATTTGTATGAAGAAATTAAGAGAAAGATGTGACAAGAGAGTCACTGGATTTTACAATACACCATCTCTCAGATCGACTCAAGTAACAGAGTGGGACCACAACCAGGAAGTCTTGAAGGCCCAACAGATGTGAGTCCTGCATATCTTACTTTCATACCATGTCAGAAACTGACCATCGCAGTGTGGGAAAATTATGTACGATGTAAAATTCAGTGGGAAGACATCTACTGTACATAATGAAGCCACTAAAGTCGGTGTTTCAACATCAAGACACTAATTGTATTATTAGTGGAGATACGATCAATACATCCTTCACCAGAACGAAAACTAGCCTGCTTCACCGGTTTTGAACAATCTACGAAGTATAACAGAAGCCAATAGTTTGGACGCAGTAGGAAGTAGACTTATCTCCGATTAATGTTACATAGGTGATACGGGCCCTTTTCACAGAAAGAGGCAACTACCGTTTGTCTACACGAAGTTGGACCACTCTTCAAGTGCGAGCGGTTGTAAACACCAACATTTTAAAAGCGGCTGACAGTAAGTCATCTGGAGCTGGCAATTTGTGACACCCCAAAAGTTGAAGTCTCCAGAGGACGTGCGGCTCGTTATTTCGACCAGTCACTACCAATGATGGAGAACACGACAGACTAATCGATAAAATAAGCTGTCCATCGTCTAAAAAAACAGATGTCATTGTTTGGCGTATCATCAGCTTCATAGATTGTTTCACTCATATCACACATCTTGCTGCCAGTGGCTTGGATAAGTTGAAAGAGCTTGAGGCAGTTACCATATGTAGCTGCCGCCTCCAAATCGTTAGCACGCTCTGGAGTGGCAGTTTTGTACAAGTTCACTGCATTGGCAGCTAACCGCGATGTGACTAATCTGAGTACAGGCTTGAGATGAAAGGAGAAAGCGCTGACTGTGTCGATTATTGGTGCTAGCCAAAAAAGGTGGTAATCAGAGTAAAGCTGAAGGAGACCGTCGCCATTATCTGACCTATGGTGAACGAGTCCCCACCGGCCATTCAAACGACTATCTGCACCTAGACGCTTGACTTGCGCATCAGAATATCCGGGTCGCACTACAATACCTGTCGATCCCTCATTTTTAGACCCCTTAACTGGTGGTGGAACTCATCCTTGATTGAATTCGGGCTGCAACCTGCGACGGCGGAGGGACAACAAAAAAGGTATAGTTTGCACACCAACTTCTCAATTTGACAGAGCTTTTAAATCTAATAGCACATAATCGACTGTTAATAGGAGTCTAATTGATTAGCACTGACATAGTCCTAGCGATTAGTGAGACACCAACGCCAGCAAGATCTGACGGAAATTCAACAGACTGCTCGGATGAAAGCACGCGAAAAAGACGTTTTGAAGCAACAGATGGAGGGCAATTTTCGGTACGTCAATTGTCTTGGAAATGGGTCTGGGATAAACGACAGACATCAATGTTCATATAACCAACCCTATTTGTTTATCGATCTGCACTAGTACGGGAATGTTGAAGGACGCCCGCTTGAACGGCATACTTGGTTGCAGAAGGCTTACTCAGAATTCATTTTCGGAGGTAGCTCGAAACTTCCAACCAGTCAATGACTTGAGATGGTTTATATAGGAAGGAATTTCCACCATAAGGTAGCAGTTACATGAGTTAAACAATAAGGAATACACAAAGTGGGAACAAACGACGTAGTGAAAATGAATTTTAATGAATAGTTGTGAGTATTTTTTGAAGATTTAAGTTAAAACAATTTTTCTGGCTATAGTCATCACTTACTTGGTATTTGGACTGGGATACTGCCCAGACGCCTGACATTAAGTTAAAAAGTTTTATCTGTGAGATAGTTATTTAGTAAAGTCTCTTAGGAATATTTGCCTATGCTCTGACGGACTGCAACCCGAGTGAGACACATGGGGATCCTATTGCAGATTACATGATTTTTCTTAGTAGAGCGCGGCCATCATATATTATATAGCCAGCCATAAGACTCGAATGATCAGGTTGAGTGTATAGACACTGGGTAACCATCAGGGACTTTTTGGTCTAGGTCCGATAACGGCAATCGACTTCTGAAAATCCGTGAGATGATACTTGAATGGCGATAATTCACTTGGTGTCATAATCGTGAAACATCGACTTGGGCATGCCGTATGAATGCCATTACTCGCAGACACTGGTTGGAACAAGCGGAGAAGATTATGAGGCTTTAGTATAACTGAACGCTATAAAATAATAGAATCTGCTGATTTCTCACGACTCCCTGATTGTGGTCGTGGAGATAATGTGATACATAAAAGGATCAGCATATAAGCTAGTGGTGGTCCTACTGTAATTTTCCTTTACTTTATTCACATAAGTGAAAGAAATTTCTTTAACTGAAAGAATCCTTTCTGGATTTGTTTCTATTGAAAAACTGTATCTCCCAGTTTTTTTGCCCATTAATTTAGTTTTATTCTCTCACTTCCTTCCTTTCAAATCCATTATACTATCTTTTCACAAACATCGTTACAGTAATAATTATTGGCTGAAATGGGTAATTAATTATAAGCTTTGTGTAATTAGTAAATATTATAAATACCTTGAGTTTTGTATTTTCAATTGAAATGGCCTCAGTATCGAAAGTATCAGAAAAATTTTGATCGCTAAAATAATTTGCATTTGAAACTGTTTGTGAATTGGAAACGTTGGGACAAATTAACCTATTATGGCATAAGTTGTTCTTAGACTCTGTGTGTAGCGTTTTTGACTGAGAACAAACTAAGTGGGAATCAGACATTGGGTTACAGTCGGCCGATAGGGCAAATGACATTGACTCCATAGAAGTTGAGTCTAAAAATCTAGCCACAGAAGCAAGTGAAGACATGGGTATCTGAAATTTAACGAAATGAAGAATAATGAAGAAAGGTGGGTAGTGATGATAATGTTAAACATTCATGAAAATAATAAACAGTACATTTCACTGATTAATTGGATGAAAGATCAATATGACAAGACTCAAATAAGCTTGTGAAATAGTGGATAATATTAGTAACTCAGGAGGATTCTGAAGTGTTGTATATTTTGAGCTGGATAATCTAACTTTTAGAAGATTAACATTAACGGATAGGGCTCTCTTAAAAATGTCAGTTACTTAGCTCTGTAATAGATATGAAAAAGGTACGTCAGACAATCCTGATGGAACCATATATTATTACACAACCAGATAGATCACATGATTCCTCAGATGAATGGTGAGCAAGTGATTAAAATTTCGGAGGGCGTTTCGCGAAAGAATTATTCATCTGATCACAGTCATCACTTGAACATACTTATCTGCATTGATCTAGTATCATTTAAATACACATGTCCTGGGTAAATATCTGATCAATCTTTAACACTACAGCATCCTACTCAATTTTAGTCACAATAATCTTTACAGCTACGTAATCCAGCGATCGATAATGTGCACTGTAGTTGAATCAAAATGTAAAATGAAAGAGGAACGAATTCATTACTTTCATCAAGAGAGATTGAAAATGTAACAACTAAAGACAGATGTATAAAGATACTATTTAAAAGATATGACAAAAAACAAAACAAATCCAGTGACCAACTAGGAAATCACATAGATAATTAATTTTTCCAGACTTACTAGAAGTTCCACAATTATATCTTCGACACTATTACTATGCATAGTAGTATTTTTATCCAATTCATTTTTAACTACATTCAAGTGTGCATAAAATCCACTTATACGAAATAACAATTCCGGTAACGGGATACATTTTTGTTTAGGCGTAAATGTCATGAAATCTGGATAGATAAATGGTCTTATATTTGTGAATAGTTGTAAGAAGCTTTCTCCGTCTAATTTACAATTAAATAAAATTTTGCGATCACGATCAGATAGCAAAGTAGTTGGATAATAATGTGACATTTTGCCTAGATTTAATAGGATTCTACTCGGCAGACGATATGCCCAAGGTGCTTCTTGTATATGTACCAGCAGAGCGATTAAAAACGGTGGGTTTGGAAGACGTAAGCCTAATAAACATTGGTGGGTTGGATGGAAAAATATGAAGCCATATGGATTACTATTTCCATTATTATAACTTGTTAAAGATTTGGAATTTAGCCAAGAGTAACCACTCGCCAGATATGAATCAGTATAGGATGAACTAAGACAACGATCATTCGAAAAGTAAACTTTTTCAAAAAAACAATCATGTGAACGAAATGGTGCTGAACCGAAAGGTTTATTATATGTTTGAGAGTTGAATGATTCTAAGCAAACAGAGAAAAAACAGATAAAAAGAACGTTTCGTAAAACAAGAAAATCTTGAGGATAGAAACAAATGCTCAAAATGAAACGATGAAAACACGTTATTTGAAATACAACATTCTCTCAGTAAGCATATTTCAGGAAAAAGCCGAATGATGTTCTGCGATTCATAATCAAATCATAATCAAGAACAGGATAATAACGCTCAATTTGGATGATATACGTATTTTGTAAAAAAGCTGCTACATAAACAGAATTTTGTCACAAACACGGTGGGCATATATTTTGAAAGAGATGGAAAAGCCAGGAATTTTGAGCGAATCCATGGGATTCATAGGATGATAAACGATTACTAATAAAAACCAAGAAACTTTTATTTGGCTAATAACAATTCGTGGAAAACAACCATCAACTGTTGAATTCGAATTATTAACTAATCCAAATCAGCAACTAAATACATGCTTATCAATATGCTTTGAGCAACAATGACAAATTAAAGCTTACATATAATATCCAACCGTGGAAATTGGAAAACTAATTTGTGATTGCGCCGCTCCTACTGTGGTGCGCGCTACTTATAAGTAGTATATGACGTGAGTGTAAACGTAATGTCTGGCAGCAGAAGATGGGGGAAGATCAAGAAAGGAAGAGTGGGAACACAATGGAATTTGTATGAAACGCATGAATAGTGAAATGTCAGACAATTGATTGATGATTGATTGAAGATTTGCAAATTAACCGTTTACGATATGGTTTTCTTATTTTACTGAGTAACTCTGTAATTTTCACTAAATACAATTCGGTCGCCCTCACCTGTGTTCTCCTTCGCTACACTACTCCAGCGGAACTTGACTTAGGCATACTTTCCTGTGGTCCAGGTTGTATTAACCGTGCCCTGAATATCGAGTGTGGACCACATTGTGCTGCTGGTGATTTTTGTAGTAACCGCCAGTTTCAGATGAGGCTTTATGCCCCGACCAAACCCTTTTACGCGGGTAAAGACAAAGGGTGGGGACTGATGACGACGGATAACGTTAAAAAGTAAGTCAATACAATAAGGTACTCCATTGCAATCTTTTTTGTAGAGGATCTTTTGTGATTGAATATGTGGGGGAAGTAATCGATTTCTCTGAATTTCGTCGACGTATCCGGCGATACGAACGTCTTGGTCATGCTCACCACTACTTTATGGCCGTGGAGTCTGATAGATTCATCGATGCTGGTGGTAAAGGCAACTGGGCTAGATTTGTCAATCACTCATGCGAACCCAACTGTGTTACACAAAAGGTAAGTAATCGCTCATCGTGTATATTGTTTCATAAGATTTGTTTGTTAACTAGTTTCCTGGTGATAAAGAAAATGTAGAATAGTGTGGTCAGATTTTTTATGTTTCGTATACCAAATAGTTTTAGTTTTCCAAAATATGCCTAAACAGCTCTGCAGACCTCTGAAACACTTTTAGGGCTGTTTTCTTTCACAAATGCTCAAATTTAGTTATGACTTGTACTTTACAATAAGTTGTAGTGCATATACTTGTGCTACTTTATAATCTTTGTTTTTAATTTCCTAGTGGAGTGTAGATGGTGAAATACGCATTGGATTTTTTGCTAAAGAAGATATTCCACCTGGTCAGGAAGTAACCATAGATTACCAGTTTGTCCAGTATGGGTATGTTTCATGTAACGCTTTGGAATTATGTGACATTATGCGTACAAGTTTCATTGAGTGTAACGTCTTTGTAGCTCTTAAAGGAAAACACTAGTTTTGTCATTAATACTTTTAGCAGCACCAATTATTCATAAACATGTGTCTATGCCCTTTAGTTAGGTCTGTCCACCCCATATGTAGCTTGTAGTTACATTCCTAAGTGACTGACATCGGGTTTCGGATTCCATCTATACTTACTTAGATGATATAAATCTCTGCCCCTTGAAACGACAAAGATTTAACCGTCAATGGTTAGTTTTGATGTTATTTTGTAGCAAATGCTTACTTGAAGAACCTTTAATCACAGACCAGTAGGTGTTTTCGCAATGATATCGGTTGGTTTGTCGTTTGTCAAGTCCCTAAATCCCACCAACCCAACAATTATTTAGTTGACAAAAATTAATTGCAGATTATTAGCTATACGCTTCTTTAAAATTAAGAAAAGATGTTTCGATACTGACAGTAAGATTAAAATCTAATTAATTGTGTGTGGTTTTACATACGCCACACAAACGCGGGAATGTGACTGAGAAGAAATGGAAGAAGAGTTAATATGATCAAAAAGTTAGTGAACCAGAGAAATACTTTCAATCCCAAAAATTATAACACGATTGTCACTGGCTTCTGTTATGAGTTAAGACTAATGGTGTCTCAAGCTACTAAGCTGCACTATAGGACTCCAGGAGTCATGATGATGATGCCAGTCCCATACAGTTTCCTTCCGTACCCTAGGACTATGTCATAGATTGACCAACTCTACGGTTGTCATCCGCTCCAAGCATTCGGAAATAAAGCACAGTATGGCAGTCGATTAGATGACGTTCATACCACAAGTCCTAACCTCTGGAGCCAGTATCCTGATATAGTAGTAACACTAGTTGGACAGCCATCACTACCAGAAAACACAAACAAACCTCTGGTTTACGTAATGTTGTTACCACATAATCTAAACAATTTCTTGGGAGACTGGGTAGCCGAACTTCCTCAACTCATTCTGTCCAGACAATGATTACCTCTTTTTCCTAGTTTACTCTATCCTAGTGATATTATCTACCCAAATAATTGAACGAGATAACAATGAGTATTGCAACTCATCAGCTAAATGAAGGTGTGTGCATCAAGCTATGTTATTACTGCAACATGTATTTCTAAACAGTTGGTAAAATGCCATTAGAATCTGCTACCTGTTGATTGGAAATGAGTACATGTAATAATGAGGTCCAAAGGTTTTTTTAATTATGTATGCTTCGACCGGCAGTCACGTAATAATCTTACAGAACTGGATTCCCATTTGCTTTGTGGCTAGATCGGAAAATTGCACTTATTGTTACAGGCAGCTTTTAAAGCACTTTTTTACATATAATGATTATGTTTTCACCGAAGTATACTTCATACCAGTTTCTAACACTTAATAATAATCAAGACTCGGAAGTGACTTTAGGAAAGTGTAATCATGTCTCAGATTCTAATGCGTTTAGTCGGACCACGTACAAGAGACTGTCTACTGAAATCCAGTCTAAGAGAGCTTTAGAGCCCAATGCCATACCTACATTGGCGAGGCCATGGGAAACAGCAGTGGAGTCTCCAGATACACTAAGCGTAGATCGCAACGGTTCTTTATTTTGAGGTGAGATCAAATGCATGAATGTACTCGGATCTTGTATGCGCATTTCGGAGACGCAGCATACTCAGTGGCGCAAGATTCTGAAGTCCGAGCTAAAGAAGCCTGTTGTCTTATATGGCAAGAGGTCTGAATATTAAAAGCTCCAAGATGTAGTTTAGAGAGTGGTTTCAAGAGACCACGAATAACGTTTCGTGTACTCAAAACGTTAGAATGAGTGGGGTGAGGTGATAAAGATATACGAAAAGGGTTTGGTTGTGAGCATGCTAATCTCGTGTGCTGTTAAGTGTATGAGAGTGGTTGTCACTTTCTGGTTACCCACACCGTGGGAGGGTATTTCTTGAGGAATCTGAAAAGAATGTTGGGTTAAAGATCTTAGTGACTTTCTGGTCACGCCTGGCCTTTTTATGGCAAGTTTTTAACGTGTTGCTGCCTCTGTTCTTACTGTTTTTGAATCGATTTCCCTGACAAAGTAGGAACCAAAGAAACATGTGTTCCAACCAATACAGCTTGGTTGGGTTATCACGATAGGTAAGCCCGACCACCACGTCAAGTTGGCAGCTACGGTCATCACAACATGAAATAGTGTCATACAATAGAAGTAATGATCGTTCAAAGAAATATACCAATCAGAGACACTTCACTCAATTATCATATGCTTAGTGATATAATTAATCATTAGATATCATATGCAACCATCCAACACTTTTATCAAATCTTGTTACTTAGGAACAATGAAGCCTGACTTTCCTCACAAACATCCCTAGATTTACAGCACACAGCATACCGGTAATAAAAACGATGAAAAAACACTTAATACTTACCAAAATCTACATTGCTTTTAACTTGTTTCTCAGCGTAAGTTACCAAAGCTTGATATATAAGCCAGTATTGATAAAATATCTCCAATGGTGGTAGTTTTTCATCGGAACGCCTACGTAACAGAATGACAATCTCTTCTTGCCCAAACTGATAAAAACCACTTGATGAAAAACACCAAGCAGATTTATTTAAACAGCAAGTTAAATCAGTTGGATGAACATGAATATGGAGATTTCGAGTGAGAGCTATCGTTATGCCAGGAAGTACATGCTCCGACTAGAGAAAATGTCAAGCAGAATTCATGATAACCATTACAATGAAGTGAATGTGAAATAGAATTCCTTGTAAAAGTAATAAAATTTTTGCCACCAGTAAGAGTAAAATTCATTGATAAGTAAATACGTGTAAATATGAAACTTAATAAAAACCCTCCAGATTTACCTCACTAATAAAAAAACACATACGAAATGTGAAACGATACGTATTCGGATAAATGGAAAATAATGTCTCCTCTGTATAACAAAGTAATTCATCATTACCACGATATAAATAAACCTCAGGAAGTTGAAGAAAATAAATAGCACGTCTAACACATATTTAGTGTGAACCAATCAAAAACAAAAACTCCGCCTGTAGACCGTTCGATACTACTGCCGGTCCCAAGCCCAGATAATAGAGGAGGGTTTGGGCATGAGGTTGGCGCCCCCATCCTAACTAAAAACTAACTTACCAAAACATTTTAACTATGCCCTGGGAGTTGCAAGAAGAATTATGACGTCTCCTTATAAAAGCCGAGTTCCCTCGGGAGTCACGAGGCCGATGACTCTTCTGACAACCAGAGCAACCATTCTTTTAGGTACATGGAACGTTCGAACATTGTGGGAGACTGGATCACTATTTCAAGTTGCAGCAGAAAGGAAAAGATACAACCTAGATCTGCTTGGAATCAGCGAAACGCATTAGACACATGTAGGACAACTGAGACTAGCTTCACGGGAACTGCTGTTATACTCTGGTCATGAACAGGAAAATGCTTCACATACACAAGGAGTTGCACTGATGCTGTCCAAACATGCACAAAAAGCACTGATAGGATGGGAATCTAGTGGACCCCGGATCATTAAAGCATCCTTTAAAATAAAGAAACAGGACATTACAATGAACGTCATCCAATGTTATGCACCTACCAATGACTACAATGACGACGTTAAAGATCAATTCTACGAAAGGCTGCAGTCAATCGTTGACAGATGCGCAACAAAGGATTTGACGATTCTTATGGGAGACCTGAATGCCAAGGTTGGAATGGACAACACTGGATATGAAGACATCATGGGACGACATGGACTGGGAGAAAGGAACGAAAACGGTGAGAGATTTGCAAACCTATGTGCCTTCAACAAACTGGTCATCGGCGGTAAAATATTTCCGCACAAACGCATTCACAAAGCCACATGGATTTCACCGGACCACACTACTCAGAACCAAATCCACCATATCTGTATCAACAAAACGTTCAGAAGGAACATGGAGGATGTGAGAACCAAGAAAGGAGCTGATATAGCTTCCGTTCACCACTCGCTGGTCGCTAAAATGAAACTGAAACTAAAGAAACACTGGATAACCGGGCAGACAACATCACACAAGTTTATTACGGCCTTTCTTCGGGATACCGTAAAACTCACCAACGTGTTCCATGCCGTAAAAGATAAACTCAATGGAGAGGCAGCAACATTGGAGAACAATTTGGAAGGGATCAAGGAGGCAATCACTTCAACATGACACGAAGTTCTGGGTAGCTAGATGTACCATCACAGCGAATGGATATCTGTTGGTACTCTCAGTCAGTCAGTCAGATGCAACATAGAACTTCGTACGTAAATACATCAGTTCATGTCGCCATACCACATCAGCACAGAGATATAATTGTCAATTCAAATCCAATAGTAGAAGAGGTAGTAAACGTATTAGGAGTAATCGGAGAGGTTAGGATTAGAAGATATTATTCAAGAAGTATGATTCAGTGAGAAAAGTTTAGAAAGTCTAAACTAGAGGTGTTGAAGAATCCAGAAGATTAGGGTTTGAGAGAACACAAAGAATAAATGCACGGGCGCCATTGCGAACGATTTTGAGCCATGTCATTCAAGGTCTCTAACCATCGGTGACTATCGTCTCGCGGACCCAAACCAGGAAGTCGACAACTACTAACATGGCTAAGTCCACTTGTAAATGACTTCATGGATTTGTGCCATGTTTTGGTCTGGCCGCCCCTAACTTTCTTCCAATCTACTCCTACACTACAAAACAAAGTTCGTCGAGGCAGTCGGTTAGCCATACGTAACATATGTCCCACTCACCTCGACTGATGATGAAAACCAGTAACCTACGAATATCTTCTACTCTCATTGGCCATATTTCACAGCCATAAAGTAATACAGAGCGAACCACTGCACAGTACACTCGTCCTTAATCAGCAAACGGATATCTCGCCTTCGCCATAAGTGACGCAGGTTGGCAAAAGCCAATCCGAGTTGAGATTTCGTCACAAACTAGGCCATCGGCACTGATGAGACTCCCAAGATAAGTGAAGCGGTCTACACGTTCGACTACTTCACTGCCTATCACCAGTTCAGGTGCCCATGCAACCCAATCTTGAAGCAACTTTTTGCATTTCGAGGTTGCGAACCGCGTCCAGGGCGAAAACCAGCCTGGTTTTCTCGAGTCTGCTCTTGACGAGCTTTCGTTAAGCGCCGAAGTATTACTGAGACCAATATTTTAGATACTATATTAGTTAGACTCATTCCCCTGTGATTGTCTGTGTTCTCTCAAACCCTAATCTTCTGGATTCTTCAACACCTCTAGTTTAGACTTTCTAAACTTTTCTCACTGAATCATACTTCTTGAATAGTATCTTCTAACTCTAACCACTCCGATTACTTCTAATTCCCTTACTACCTCTACTACTATTGGATTTGAATTGACAATTATATCTCTGTACTGATGTTGTATGGCAACATGAACTGATGTACTTACGTACGAAGTTTTACGTTGCATCTGACTGACTGACTGACCTGTGATTGTCACAAGAAGAGTTTTGTCCTTTCTTATAGATTGGGACAATCAGTGATTGAGACCAGTCGGATGAGATTACGTCCAATTCCCAGATTCTACCTAAGATCTCAGTCAACGTAGCTGCAAAAACTGGACCACCATCCTTAAATATCTCAAGGGTAAGTCCTCGTCCTCGCTTCAGATTTCCTAACGCTTTCTCAACGTCATTAAGACTAGGCGGACTTACGTCGACTTTCCATTCAGGATGACTGGAGATCGTGGGTAACCGAACAGTGGCTCGAGGCCAGTTCCCAAAAGTGTTCTGCCCATCGATCCAGTCTCCTGGATTGAGAATAAATAATAGTCCCGTCATTTTCTTAATGGATAATAAGACCATCCTTTTCCGAGATAGTCTCACTTACCCTAAGATTCCTAATACCAGTTTCCTTGATAAGTCGGAAAAGTTGTCTCCTATTGCCTATCGCCGCTGCCTTTTCCATCACTTTTGCTTTCGCCACCCACCACAGTTCGCGGTCGTTACGTAGGCTTTTCATAAGTCTGCGCCTAAGTTGACTTCGTTCTTCATCATGTTCAGAGCCAGGTGGGATGAGTTTTCGGGCATCCATCAGATCGGTGGATGCTACTGAGATCCACGGCTTCATTCTAGCCTTATGGTCAACCTTACTAGCAGATATCACTGCTGTTTCCACAGCCTTTTTGATATCATTCCAACATGACTACGGATGGGAATCGCTAAATGGTCGCCTAACTGTTTTTCTAGTTGTTCCTGAAATATATTCTTCGCCTTATTATCATTAAGTAATACCCTTAGAGGCTTTCTTACGGTGTCTTTCCTACGCCCAGTAGGCTTCAAACAAAAAGGCAGGCATATCAAACAAGAGCGGAAACACCCTTCCACGGTGTGGGCAGCCGGGAAGTGACATCCACCCTCATACACGTAACAGCTCACCAGACCAAACTGGTCACAATCAAATCCTTCATACGCCGCCAAACATCTCTCGTACCTTTATGACTAACTCTTCTCAGATTCCTTAATCACCCTGTACTGCTAATACAAACGATGCGGTTTTTCGTCGCTTACTTTTTCACACACCAAACTATTCTATCCTGTTCAACTGTTATTAAAAGTGTCAGTTAGAAATCTTAGTGTGATATTATAGTGTGTTTAGTTATTCTCTGTATTATATGATTAGCCGGTTCAGATTGTCTTAAAAATTAAATATGTTGCTGACCGTCCAAATTATTCGTTTAATCTCCTAAAGTACTCCGTCAAATGTGGAAACCATTGACAGTTTTTAGTCCAGCGTAAAGCGGTTTTGCAATTCCAGTTTCCTTATAATTTTTGTTTCAACTTTTGAAAGCTATTATTCATAGTGGACTATTGACTCTTGTTTTTACAGTTGTTGGTACTATGCATTCCGGAAAATCCAATGAAACCGTTGAAAGTCCAGTTTTTAATTCAATGAACTCGTCCGAAGTAAATGACACACTGATAAAATCCAGTAAAAACCTCAGCGAGCCTACTCATAAACTATATGATAAGAAAATTACCCCACCCAATACCGTATATAAGGATGAAAATGTACAAACCATAAATATTAATATTGATGATGCAGACTACGTCTTTCAATACCTATATATATATATATATATATATATATATGCTACATAAATCATTCCATCTATTGGTTTTGACCGGAAAACAGCTTTAATTGTCTTGAAACTCGATGTTGGTAACCTAGAGGACACTGTAAAGAAGCAATAATCTATTTGAGGAATCATCGTTTGCCGCCAGTTAGTCTAGCGGAAATTGAAAAGATCTCTTAGATGCTTGAAATAGTAATTAGCAGCTTTCAACCTAAATGCTACTAAATATTACTGACTACAAGAAACTTTATTGAACGAAGATATTTAAATCCGTTGCCTTTCTAAAGGGTGATAAGAAATTTTTATTCATAGATTTAGCTGTAGAGTCGGAAAAAATATGAGAAAAAAACTTCATCTCAATTCGAAAAATAGATTTAAATAAAAATTTCAATACCTCAGACAAGTAATCAGATTGTGTTACTGGTTTCATGGCCACTGAACATAAAGAACCTTTCTCTGAACCAATGGTTAATCCGTTGACATTCTTAACACATGAACAGTCAGACTGTCTATTTTTATTTTCAAGGAGTGACGCTAGTAGTCCGATTGGAGGATTATATTGAAGAACCAACTCTAAAATTTCAAAATGGGTTAAAACTGGGTAAAAATTTGAGTATAAACAAATACTCAATAAATCAACCCTCATAATTTTTAATCAACGTCTAGCCTAATAAGACACTATACTATGTATGATATGCAATATGAGTGTACTTTATGAATTACTCCCTACCCGTGCAAAAACTAAGCCGGTAAATTTGAGTCACTAACCGCAGAGTTACGTTTAATCATATTAAAAGAAATGCTTACTTGCTCATAAATTAACTCTAAAGCCTTGGATAATATATCAGATTATCTTGGTCACATAGAATAAATAAGTGATGGAATTTACGGTCGGTCTAGATCTTCCTGAGGTCCTAGTAGCGAAACTTTATTGTGCCAGATGGAAGCGACGTTATCTAGCAAGTTCGCGGTCATAGCCACTGATATGTCATAATCAACTATCAATTAAGCGGAAGTAAAACGCCACAAAACTTATTCGGTGGAAACTCGGACGCAAGACATAGGGAAATTTTTAATCAATAGAATCTAAAATAATGTCATCATATATTCGTGCAGAAGTTATGCCATGTTGATTTCCAGTCTGAAAGGTACGTAATCCTAAGCACTACCGGCGCATGTGATATTTTTTTGAAATTCGCCATGTTCGAAAAATAATTTACAAGAGAAGCATCCTCTGAAAAAAATAATACACTTCTCTTATTTACATGATATGGTGCGAGTAACCCAGAAATTACGGAAAATCAAGATATGCGACTATTATAATTCATAAAACTAATTACTTGACAATTCATATGCATACACCAGCTTACCGATCGGTCAATAGACTTACAGCTAAATGATAAAATAAAACACTAATTCTTCAGTGAGTCAAAATCGATCTAACCTACTACTTTTGAAGATAACTTTGTGACCCATATCTCTATGGCGTCACCGGTTTGTAGGAACTAGAGGAATATAAATGAAAACGTGAAACGATAAAAACTAATTTCTGTTAAATCAAAATACAGCGATTCCCACTTATAAATTGCTTTTAGCTAATAATAAACCTACTACTTGGATGTGTTCCATTAGCGTTATAGTTATTTTTGTATTAAAAATATGGATCACAGTGCATCAAAGTTTTGTATTTTACGTACAGAAGCACATGAGTTCTGAAATTATAATAGGTAACTTCGCTGGTTTTCTAAGTGGCAGTTTTGTGGTGCGTAAAGTTTGCGCAACCAATGAAACGTTAACAAACATTGGATCCAAGACTTTTCCGAAATGACGTTATTGGTATGAGCGAAATCACGAAACAATTGATTCTACCAAGACTAAAAGCACAACACAACACCAGAGTATGTAAACGACGCATTATGAACGCAGGATAGTTGATGAAACGTTAATGAATTGCGATTCGCTGAGTATAATATGCAAAAGTATATAAAGTATATCTGACAACCTATTGAGTATACGGTCACCTTCATTTGTCGAAATTTTATTTTTTTAAAAAGATTACGTAAGATCAATATCTACAACAGAAAATACTTTTTTCAAAAAACAACATGTAGTTCTTGCCTGGATGGGAATTTATGACCAGAGGAGGCCAAATATCTCCGTGAGGTTGAATTTGTTGCAGCTTTTTGGAAGTGTAAAACTGTTTGCTGTCCTGCCAGTTCTCGACAAAACCAGTATTTGTTAGCAAATGATCGATCCGCTGTTGAAAGAAGTAGTCTGCATCATCAATATTAATATTTATGGTTTGTACATTTTCATCCTTATATACGGTATTGGGTGGGGTAATTTTCTTATCATATAGTTTATGAGTAGGCTCGCTGAGGTTTTTACTGGATTTTATCAGTGTGTCATTTACTTCGGACGAGTTCATTGAATTAAAAACTGGACTTTCAACGGTTTCATTGGATTTTCCGGAATGCATAGTACCAACAACTGTAAAAACAAGAGTCAATAGTCCACTATGAATAATAGCTTTCAAAAGTTGAAACAAAAATTATAAGGAAACTGGAATTGCAAAACCGCTTTACGCTGGACTAAAAACTGTCAATGGTTTCCACATTTGACGGAGTACTTTAGGAGATTAAACGAATAATTTGGACGGTCAGCAACATATTTAATTTTTAAGACAATCTGAACCGGCTAATCATATAATACAGAGAATAACTAAACACACTATAATATCACACTAAGATTTCTAACTGACACTTTTAATAACAGTTGAACAGGATAGAATAGTTTGGTGTGTGAAAAAGTAAGCGACGAAAAACCGCATCGTTTGTATTAGCAGTACAGGGTGATTAAGGAATCTGAGAAGAGTTAGTCATAAAGGTACGAGAGATGTTTGGCGGCGTATGAAGGATTTGATTGTGACCAGTTTGGTCTGGTGAGCTGTTACGTGTATGAGGGTGGATGTCACTTCCCGGCTGCCCACACCTTGGAAGGGTGTTTCCTGAGAGACCTGAAAAGTAAGATAGATTAGTGTCGGACTTAACGACCTGGTAGCGTGACCGCAGACCCCAATGGAAAACTGCTTGTAGCAAGTCACGCACGTCTTTCTCTTTCTAAATTTACCTCACTGAATAATACTTCTTGAATAATATCGACTACTGCTAATACTACTTCTACCTCTACTACTATGGAATTGAAAGCGACACTTGCATCTCTGTGCTAATGTGGTATGGCAACCTGAACTGATGTACGTACGTACGAAGTTCTATGTTGCTGTTGAGTCAATGTATGACGGACATGATCATAAAGACTACACCTGTTAATGTAAACAGTAAATCCAATTTTACTTTGTATAGTGAAATACCGACAAGGAATTTGCCGACCATATGCCTTTTAGATATTTTTCACTTAAGTTGGTTGACATTTTTGTAAATCCGAATTAATTGAATTTTCTAGACTGAAGTATAAACAGGAAAATTTTCAAATCATGTTCGCAAAATAGTTTCTATAATAATGTAAGGTTAGCTACGAAGGAAGAACCAGCCAAAATCTACTTAAATAAGAGAAAGGAAATTTCCAAATAAATTAATTAAATCTAATCCAATAAACAAGAATAGAATTGCATCTGAAACGAAATCCAGTGGCGGGTGGCGGATTTATTAAGTACATTTTATCACCAACTAATGATCAACAATTGATCCAGTACTATGATATCTTCCTTGTTGCACAAAATCGAATACATCTGACAACCTTCCTAGTGTTCAGAAAAAATATTCTTTGTTTCTACGGTAAAATATATCTGGTTAGTATAACTTACAGTTACTGATTCTCCTATAAAGTGTTGGGCACAAACGAGTGGAACTCGTTCCAATATCCGAAAAGTTAAAATCCATATACTTGGTCAGGGTATGGGAAAAACATCTGCTAACAGACAGTAAACTAGAAAATCTTTTTGAATGTGAAAGGTAGCCAGAACCACCAAGGATATGTGATGGACGATTATATACACGTCTTTTATGTTGGTTACAAGTAGAACGATAAGGACAGTATATTCTCTTACGGATGACACGGAAGTTATCAAAACAAAATACACTGTGTAATTGTGTATTATTCCACGACCATGCTAAAAAATGTTTGGTAGACATGTAGCGACATTTACTTGGTCGATGTCTTACGAAAGTTCGACAGGTATGACATCTCAGTAACCGTGTATCATCTGAAAATTAAAGTACACATTAGATTTCAGTTTCCTGTCAAAAGTAAGCAAACACGAAGCAACGTAAAAGTACTAGTATATTATAATGATAAAAAGTAAAACTAAAGTGATTCACATGAAAATACTGGCTAGTAATTTTAGTAACTTGAGGATTGAGAATCCTTACACACTCAGCAACACAGTCGGGTGAATCTTGATATTTCAGTCTTTCTATAGTTTGGCAAAGTCGGCGAAATGTGAAAGGTGCATTTATTGTAATTCAACAGACTAATTAATTAGTAGACATTAATACCAAAGTTTACAATGTTAGAGTGATTTGAGTATCAGGTTGAAAGCTAATAAAGATAAAATCTATTCTGGAGCCACCGCTCCTAAGTAATTATCCTTCAAAGTCCCGACCGTAGCTGCTACCTTGACGTGGTGGTCGGGCTTGCCTATCGTGATGACCCAAACGAGCTATACTGGCTGGAACATATGTTCCTCAAGGTTCTACCATGCCAGACAGGTCGATTGGAGAACGATGAGACTAAAAGCAGCCACCCAAGGTCTGAGGGGTAAGTCGTACCGCTGACTGTAGAGAGGTGTGACAGCAGTAAGGTGTTTCCCTCGGACAACCAGCATCTGCAGCGATGCTGCCTTCTCACAAGGAAGGAAGGGTTAGAAAAGGTCGGCCCTAAGAATTTCACACCCCCTACCTCACGGATTTCCGTCTCCGTCGGTAAGGGTGCCCACTAAGGGCTTTCAAGAGCGGAGCTAACATTCAAAAAACTTCTCATAAAAATGCCGTGCGTGACCGGCCTCAAGCAGTTGTCCCTTGGACTCTGCGGTCACGCACCAACACTAATCTATCTTCCTTTTCAGGTTCCTCAAGAAACAACCTTCCACGGTGTGGGCAGCCGGGAAGTGAGAACCGCCCTCATACCCATAACAGCACGCGAGACCAAATTGGTCAAAATCAAATCCTTCCTACATCCCCTAGTACCTCTCTTATCTCCACGACTAACTCTTCTCACATTCATTCATCACAGTGCACAGCTAATGCAGACGATACGAGTTCGCGAAACGTCGTTCCTGGTCTCCTTAGACCTCGCTCTAGACTACATGTTGGAGCATTTAATGTACGGACATTGTGTCAAATAGGGCAACAGGCTTCCTTAGCTAGGACTTTAGAATCTCGTGCCATCGATGTATGCTGCGTCTCGGAAACGCGCATACAGGATCCTAGTAAAGTCATTAACCTGATTTCACCTTGTCAAAACGAAGAAGCAGCTCGATTTACTCTTCGTGTATCCGGTAGCCCTGATGCTGCTTCCAGGGGTTTTGCTGGCGTAGGCATAGCATTGAGTCGTAGAGCTGAACAATCTCTCCTTGACTGGATCCCAATAGATAGTCGATTGTGCGCTGTCCGACTAAACCGGGA